CAAAGGAGGGCCAGGGGTGCTGATGCACTTTTGTAATTCCAGCACTTGGAAGGCTGAGGCAGGAGGGTCAAAGAAGTTCAAGGGAGACTGGGCATGGTGGTGCATGCCTGTAATCTCAGCGTTTGAGAGGCTGAAAACAGGAGGATCACTACAAGTCTGATCTGTATAGTGAGACCCTGTCGACCCTGTACTAAATACATTTAAAAAAAAAAAAAAGTAAGTTCAAGGCCATACTGGGTTACATAGTTCAAGATTAGTCTAGTGGGAAGGGAGATGGCTCAGTAGAATAAGCACTTTCCTGACAAACATTAGGACCTGAGTTCAATCCCCGGTTCCAATTAAAAAAAAATAAAAAAAGATTAGTCTGAACTACAAAGCAAGACCCTGTCAAAAAAAAAAAAGAAAGGAAAAAAAAAAAAAAGTCAGACCAACCAAACAAAAAGCTTCAAAGGAGATAAGGGAGTATTTATGTTAATATATGTGTATGTATTAGCTAGGGTTAATTTTAAATAGAGTAGTTAGGGAATACCTCATTAAAGTGATGTTGGTGTGAAAACCTGAATTAAGTAAAGGTAAACCATGAAGACATTTGGGTGAAAACATTCCAGTGCAGTGACGGGGAATGTTTTAGAGCTCTTAATGATAACAGGCTGCTGCTGCTGCATGTGTGCCATAGGTTCACTGCCACTGTTGTAGGCATACGTGTAAATAAAGGTCCTGAGGTGGAAATGAGCCTGACATGTCTGAAAAGTACCTGGGAGACCAGAGTCACTACAGAGTAGGCAGGAAAGAAGGACATGAGAGAGGTCATGAGGGCTGTTCAGCCTGAAGAACTGAGTGTTTGGCCCTCATAACACTTAAAACAGAGACTGGGCATGGTGGCGCACGCCTGTCATCCCAGCTCTTGGAAGGCTGTAAACAGGAGGATCACTGAGACTGATCTAGTAGTGAGACCCTGAACACACTGTAGACCCTTCCCTAAAATACAAAAAACAAAACCCAACACCACACTTAAACATTTCCACAGGCTCAGATCAGCTCATTCAAACAGCCTTTTTTTTTGAGATAGAATCTCGCTGTGCAGTTCAGGATGATGTTGAACTCACTATGTAGCAGAGGTTGGCTTCAAACTTGTGGCAATTCTCCTGCCTCAGCCTCTTGAGTGCTGGGATTACAGGCATGTGCCACCTTTTTTTTGGTACCAGGAC